GGATTATTGTTAGCAACATTTTTTCCTCATCGTGTCTTGGTGCAGGACTAGATCATGGCTGGCACCCTTGTCCGTGTCTGGCACACTCTGCAGCAGGCCCTGGTATGATTTCACGGCTGCCTACGTACCCTGTATTCACTGAGCTGCTTGCTGGGCAGCCAGCGATGGTGAATAAGTCGTCCGGACGCAGCCCCTGCCTTGCTGGCGTGGTGAGGCAGATAAGGGGCGATGCCCGGCCCCGATTACCTCCAGTCCAAGGGCTACTTATCAGGCTCAATTTTATCTCTGAATTTCATAAGAGGTTGTTTTGTGTTTTTCTGGTGGTCAGTAGATTCTCTAAGTTATAAAAGTATAGATAATGGCTCTGATTAGCGAGTTGATATTAAATCTCAATGTTGTCATGTCGGTTATCTGTTTTGCAGTTGGAGTAATAAGTTTTATTACTGCAGTTCCAATTGGCAAGCAAGGGTCATATGAATGGCACCTTTCCAGTGTCCTGTTAATAATCCAGTGATGTGATCCAGGCCCTAGTCACTTCTTTTGGCCCTTCATTTGGGCCAAATAAGGAATGAAAGCTAGCTCCTCCAAGGCTGAGCTGCTTCAGTCTTACTGCACTAGGTCATGAAAGTTTATTGTACATTGAAAAGGTTTTAAACAATGCTGTCTCTTCTTACATTTAAAATTAATCATTAGTATGATTGATTGATTGATTGATTGATTGATTGATTTTTGAGACAGGGTCTCACTCTGCAGTTCAGGCTGGCCTTGAGCTCCCTTTGCAGCCCAGACTTTTCTCAAACTCGCAACGATCCTCCAGCCCCAGTCTTCTGGGTGCTGGCATTACAGGCGTACGTAGGCTACGATGCCTGGCTCTAGGTGATTAATTTGTTTCCACTAAATTTTGGAAAAGTAGCCATTTAGTGGGTTTTGACCTTCATCTGCAAATATTTGATTTTTAACCTGAAGTAACTCCATAATGTGTCTGGCCTGCTGCTATAAATGACACTGAAATTAGCATTAAGTATGTCTTGAATTCCTTTGCTCAGGAAGAGAGAACCTTGTCTGGCTTTTTTTTTTTTTGGACTCCCTGAGTCCTTAAAACGCAGTGTCATGGGACCGGGGAGATGGCTCAGTAGAATAAGCACTTCTCTGGCAAGCACAAGGGCCTGAGTTCAATCCCCAGTTCCACCAAAAAAAAAAAAAAAAAAAAAAAAATCCAAAATATGAAAGAGTTAATGAATATTTGTTGGCTTTGACCTTCAGTAGCCCTGTCATTGTCCATCCAAACAAAATTCCACTGGCCAGCATGTTTCCCATCATACTAGAATAGCTAGTTTAAATTTTCTTTTGGGGGGTTCGGGGGGCACTGGGGATTAAATTCAGGACCTTGCACTTGCCAGGCAGGTGCCTAAGCCGCTGAGCCACCTCCCTGGCCCTAGTTTCACTTTCTAGTCAGCCTTCTGGTGAATAAGAAGCACAGAGGTACTATGCTTCTCAGATACCTTTTTTGTGTTCCAGGTGCTGGAATTCAGCTCATTTATGCTGGTACTGGTCAAGGTAGTACATCTGTTATATGAGGCATGGCGACAGTGTTGCAACACGTCTCAAAGTATTATATCAGAGAGACATTATGTAGAAATAAAATCAACATTTTTGCCTTCTCCCCTAATTCTGTTTTAATAGAAAAGTCTCACAGTGCCACCATGATTCCATTAAGGACTTTTTTCAGCTATGTCAGATTACCGGGAATGAGAATGTCAGATGTTCACTGCTGCCCTCTGTAGTGAAATGTAACGATAATACAGCATCATGAATCATTTGCTTCTCAGTACGGTATAAGGTCATGGGAGTAGCAGCTGTGGCTTTCTTTCCACCTAGATACTGTTTCCGTAAAGCCATTTCTGTTTTTATTCATGCAAATTCGGTTTCTCCTTTGTGTGTGTGTGTGTGTGTGTGTGTGTGTGTGTGTGTTATGTATTTTAGGGAAGAGTCTACAGGGCGTTCAGGGTCTCACTGCTAGATCAGACTCTAGTGATCCTCCTGTTTACAGCCTCCCAAGAGCTGGGATTACAGGCCCGCACCCCCACACCCAGTCTCAGTTACTATCTCAGTGTGCCCTGGGGGTGAGGCTGGCATGGCAGGCCCAGGGATCGAACCCCTGGTCCCTGTGCCTGCTTGCAGTGCTTTAATCCGCCAAGCTCTTTGGCCGGTTCTTCTCCTTTGTGTTAACATTAACCAGGGAATACAGTATTTTCCATTACCAAAAGAATAACTAAAACTGTAACTAATTCTATTTTTTTCCTCACAAATCTTTTTAATTTGATATGATACTCTTAATTTGATATGATGTTTGTGTAATACAAACACAGATACTTTTAATTTGCTAGGATGTTTGTGTAATACATCTTTTTTCTCATGTCTTTAGGCAAAATGCATACTTTTTAAAAGCCTGCCTCCCCCAATGCGCTATAGCAGCTCTTCCCTATCCGTTGACCTCGGTTACATAATAGATAAATGGGATGGCTCATCATCAAGGAATTCAGATTAGATACCGAAGTGAAGCTGCTCCATCAGATTAAAACCCATGTAAAAATAAATGCAACATTATATTTATTGACCTGCTTATTCTGCCATAAACCAGTGTATCACAAACACCACTGATGGAATTTCTCCAGTACCTCTCTGTGCGGGAGAAAGTTTAACCACTCTTCCAGATGTAGGAAATTCCTGCAGCACCAGCTTAGAACATTCTGCTCCTAGCCAAGCGTGTACACAAGCATGTTTTGAGCAAGTTTTAAGGGTGGCCTGCAGGAATACATGACTCTGAACAGCTGCTGTCCTGTAGTCGGAGGAAGGTTTCTGTGTTAAGAGAACCTAAGCCTAGTGGGCTGTGGAAGTGCCTCGCCCTCTTGGGGTGTCCATAGGCCAGCACCTTAATTTTGCCTTTGGCTTTCACGCTTCAAACCTGGGTTCGTCTGAAGTGCCCTGCTTCGGTCCTGGGCTCCAAGTAGAGAACTCTCTATTTAGTCCCTTGTTTCTGTTTCTTCCAGCCTTTGTTTCCGGGTCAAAGGCAGTGTGAGGAGGAGGAGGATTAAGTGGAGGGTTACGGCCCCTCCCCTCCAGCCCAGCATGAACCCAAGGCCTAGTGCTGGGAGGTTTCTTAGTGGGATTCCAAGCCCATGTGTTTGCTGATTGAGTTGTTCCAGTGTTGGCCGATTTGTTTTGTAAGCAGTCACTTGGAGATCTCTTCTGCGTGTCCTGCCAGTTGTTCTTTTGGGCCATGGAAAGGGTTTTTCTGGATTGGTAGGAAACCAACCTTCTCTTTCACAAAAGTCTTTTTTAAAAAATGTATTTAGGACAGGGTCTCCAGGGTCTCACTACGTAGATCAGACTTGTAGTGATCCTCCTGTTTTCAGCCTCCCACATGCTGGGATTATAGGTGCGCACCACCACACCCAGTCGGCGTGCCCCAGGGGTGGGCCATCACGGCACACCAGGGATGAACCCCAGTCCCGCATGCAGCCTAGTCCGCTGAGCTGTCTGACTGGCCCACAAAAGAAGTCTTTCATGGGTTTAAAAAAACATAGTATGTATAGAGGGGAAAAAATCACTCTAAAGCTAAGACAACATCACTTAATAAAATTATAAGTGGTTTCATATAATTTAACACTTCATACTATCTCATTTTTAAAAAAAAGTCCTTTACAACTGCACCATCCAGCCTAGGGCCAGCCAAGGACCACGTCTTTTTAGTACACTGTGTGTCCCTTAGACTCTTTGCCCCTTTAACCTTGTTACTTTTCTGTATCATCAACCTGAAGAAACTTAGATATTGATAAATGAAAGCATCTAAATGTGTTTAAACATTAAATGCTATTTAAAGTATTTACTATCTAAGAGTATTTTTCTGGATAGCCAAAACAGTATTGTCCTATGTCAGTTACAATTGCATAGTGCCCTTCCACTTCTTTTTGCTTGGCTGGGGATTGCGCCCAGGACCTCCCATATTCTAGGCAAGTGCCCCGCTGCGGAGCTGTTCCCCAGCCTGAAAACTCTGAAAGAAATCTTTGTAGTTGTGTGTCCACGCCAGACCCATGTGCTGTATATGATTGTGTATTTGGTTTTCTCGGTGACATTTAGTCTGGCATGGCCCCTTCATTCATGTCAGTGTCCTGTGGACAGGACAGGACTGGTGTCTGGCCAAGCGGCCTGCCTTCAGATCCGTCTCCTGTGTCCCTATAACTGGAGCCAGGGTAGTAGCCACTCCTCGTCACATGTGGCCGCTGGGCCTTTGGAAGGGAGCTAGTCCGCACTGAGATGTGCGTGGGTGTGCAGTATGTGCTGGGCTTCTAAGACTTACTCCAAGGGGGGAAAATGTAGAATAGCTCACTTATCACTTTAAAACTATGGATTATAATATTCATAATAATTGGCATCATGGATGAAGTAGATTTCACTATTAAAATTTTTGGGGGCCGGGGAGATGGCTCAGTAGAATAAGTGCTTCCCTGGCAAGTGCAAGGGCCTGAGTTCAATTCCCAGTCTCCCCACCCCCCAAAAAAAAATTGTATCTGTTTCCTTTGAGGATTTTAAAGTGGGCTGGAAAGCTTTGTGTGCCTTCGATTACTCGATTACTCGTCTGACAAGTGCTGCTTTCTAATGTCTTAAAGCAGAAAATGATCACCCCCAAGTCGCTCCACGTCAGTTCCCCAAATTGTAGCAGGAAGAAGAACATTAGTGGGCTAACACGCTCCATAGTGAGGCTTTCATTTAGTGACAGCGTGGGAGCTGAGCGATTTTCCGCACTAGACCCTGCCTAGGGAATTTTAGTACCTGGCGTCCTGTCCAGCGGATGAAATAGCTGACCCACGGCCTCTGTGACCACCGCCAGTGCTCAGGTGTGGAGCTGGAGGTGGGCCGCGCTCGTCCTGTGTGGCCAGGGGAAGCGTGCGCTTGCTTGCCTGCCCTGTTGATTTATTTATCTGTCTACTTATTTTTAGTGTTGGAGAACTTGGACCAGACAATTCTCCCGAATTGTGGATCGCTGGAAGATCAGCAAGATTTCCAAGTCCCGGAATTTGTGAGTACAGCTACTTTTCCTTAAGTCTGTACGGCGAGCTGGAGGTTTTTCGCCACATAGGGGGTGAGATTGTTTCAAGAGCCGTTCTGCAGGGCTTCCAAGTCTGCTGTAAGAGCTGGTGGCACTGACCGTCTTCAGAGCTGCGGAGGAGTCTAGAGAACAGGTCCCGGAACGGCCGCGTCGCGGCATCAGGCACTTGCTCTGGCGTGAAAGACTGCGACCTTGCGAATCTCCCACCTCATCCACAGAGCTGGTACTCGACTCACTGATACAGTTGCTGTGTCTGCTCTTAGTGACTGCAGACTCGCTGTCTCTGCTGAGCGCGTCACCCGGCGTCACACACCGACTGTTGCTAGTCATTTACAGTGGACGCAGGCCAACTCGGATCTCCTTCTGGAACTTTAACCCTAAGCCATTTAGGGCTAGGGATGTTCTAGTTGTTCCTACCAAGAAGGGGAGCTAATGCTTCTCATCAATTAGACTTGTTAAAAATTAGCCATGGTTCCTACCCTCAGGAATTAAAAATCTTATTAGATGCTACTGTGATTTCATTACTGTCTCATTTAAGGAAAACTAGGTGCATAGGACGCCCTGCAAAATGTCTGTGCTGAATATACTGTATATTAGGCTCACGTGGAGAGAGAGGACGTACCATAGGGTTGCACCTGATGTGCAGGAACAGTGTGCCCAAGGTCCACCCAGATTTGCTGATTTTTGTCCCCACTACAAAGGCTTCCTTGCCAATTATGTTAGCGATGCAAACATCTTTTTCGGGTTATTTTTGAAGTCCAGTATATAGTTGTCACTCCGGTCCTTGGCAGAGTGTAACTGCATTACGGATGAAGACAAACGCGCTCGCCCTGCGCTTGTCTCCTCTCTGCACCCCGAGTGTGGCCGGCAGCCAGGGAAGCGGACAGTGCCCAGGCCTAGGGGGACCGCACGGAGGACCGCTCTCGCGAGGCCGTCGCATCTCACAGCGTGGCTCCTGTGGCTCGCTTGCAGACCACCTGCTGGGAAAATCACTTGGCTGTAGTAGAAGGACGTAGTGTTTGGTGACTTCCTTACTGTACCCAGTGAGACTTTCAGTGAAGGAAAATTACAAAGACGCAGCAGTACCCTGCGTCTTAAAGTAGCGGAGAGATTTGTGATTTTTCTTACCCTTGGAGCTGGTTATAAAGCAGAGCAGACAGAGGCTTCATATTCATGTGTGGTGCTGGTACCGACTCATGGGGCCGCCCCTTTATTTCTGCAGCCGTATTTTATTGATGCCCTGTCGGCAGCATAACCTAAAAAGAGCCGTGCTGAGCAGGGTGCTGGTGTGCATGTTAAGCATATGTGCAGCTCACGCCGGTTCACATGGCGTTCAAGGCTGGCACACCTCAGCCGTGTCTTCGCTACAGCCGGTGAAGTGCAGACGCACTGGTAATCGTAACTGTTTCCACCTTTAGCGTTTTTTTTTAGGCAGGGTCTTGCTGTGTAGTTCAAGCTAGACTTGAACTATGTAGCACAGGTTGGTCTTGAATTTGTAGCGACCCTTCTCTTTCCGCCGCCTGAGTGCTGAGATTACAGGCGTGTGCCACATCTGGCTTAGCACGAATTTTCTCCCCGGCCCCTGATTTCTTTTTTTTTTTAGTGTATTGCATTAATGTGAAATATTTATTATAATCAATGAGTCAATATTGATAGATTATTAACTGAAGTCCTTTGGTTACATATGACGCAGCCTTGGTTTTGTACATTTTATGTGCTTTGACAAATGCATAGTGACATGCATCCACCATTATAGTCCAGACAGTAGCTTCGCTGGCCTAAGAGTCTCTGTGCCTAATAGGCTGCCCCTGATTTCTTGATTAACCTCTCTGCAAAAGTTTGTTATCTGGCTATTCTAAGCTAGCGTGGCCAGTGGTAGAACTCAGGTTCCCAGAATACATTCACCTTTCTGAGCAGCTTATTTTAACAAGGAGTTTAAAGATGCCCAAGTTAGGAGATTCTTAGGCTAAATTCTCACTTTTTATTTTTATTGTCTTTTGGGTACCGGGATCTGCTGTGCAGTTCAGGCTGGCCTTGAACTTGCAGCAGTCCTTGCGCCTCAGCCTCCTGAGTGCTGGGTGACTACAGTGTGTGCCACAGTGCTCGGCCTCATGGTTTCATTTCTCGCTGCTGTGCCAGAACTACCGAGAGCCATTCCGCCATCCCCACCGATGGGGCCGAAGGCTGTTGAGCCTGTGTGGCTGATAACAGATTCCTACATCCTGGCTGTGATCTTCATCTTGTTGTGTGTTCATGCCGTGCTCAGGGAGGAATCTGACTTGTGCTGCACAGATTTTCACACCACTGGTGCTCATTACACACCACTTCTCTGTGTAACTCGAACAGCCTCTTGTACTTTCTCCCTCGCATCGCCTTAGCCGTGGACTCCGCTGTTGCAGTAAACATTCATTGCCCATCGCTGTCTCCATGGCAGACGAACAGGAGGTATAGAAGGGGTCCCTAGAGGCAGGGCGCTCCAGGGAATCCAGCCTTATATTTAAAACAATCCTTTGTGTGGGCAGAAGATTAGCGCTTCATTGCGAATGATGGATCCGCTCCTGCAGTGTGCTGGGTGATGCCAGGGCAAAGTCGGGTGAGTTGATCCAGACCAGATTTTGAAACCAGAAATTCAGGTGCCGCTTGAACCTGGGAGCTGAGGGTTCCCAAAGGCCAAGCAAACTTGAGAACAGAAGGCAATGAAGAAGAAAAGAAATTAAGAAATGAGTATTCTGTTTTTCTCCGTCAGGCATTTTAGAAGCTCCAACTGTAGTTTGCTGAGTTGGATTACAGAGAGCAGGGCAGAGACTGTGTTTGCTTCAGCCTTGTCCTCAAGTCAGACTGTAGAAGGACCAGGAGGCTGGCTGGCGTTTCTGTGCCGCAGTATATTTACATGGTTTGCGCAACAGGGAGCATACGATGCTTTTCATTATTAGTTTGTTTCCTTCAGAATTTGTTTTTCTTTCACTTGAAAAAGACCTGAGAAAGCTGTACCAGCGGAGTAGCTTTGGTCTCTGAGATCATAAGCTGTTTTCCTCCACAGCTCGGTGTCTCTACTGTGATTCCTCGGTGTCTCTACTGCTGTAGGAGCTCCGTAAGTCCTGGCTAGGCAGGCACCGGTGTCCCGCTCAGCGCCGTGCGGCTCGGAGACCGCAGCCCGCCTGGGAGGGGCAGATTTCCACCTGGCCTTCCTCTCGGTGGCTGCAGTTTCTTGACTGTCTGCGTTTGCATGTCTGTGTGGCTTCTCTCCACCCCCCGCCCTCCTTTGCAGTCCCAGCAAATGTTAACGTGTAATCAGAGACGCGGTTGTGCTTCTGCTCTTCCACGTGAGGAGGCGGAGGCGGGAGCGTGTTGAAACCAGAAAGGAGGGCTGGAGCTGCCCAAGGTCGGGTGAACGTGTGGGAGGGAGGCCTGGGGAAAGGCAGCAGCAGCCTTTCAGGGTTTTTTGTTTGTTTCATTTTTTTATTTAATATAAGCATAGCGGAAGATAGATTTAGAACCTGTTTTATTAATTTTTTATCCTAAGTTTCCCATGCTGTCTTCTTTTTCTGTCCCTGTTACCTTCGCTAACTTTTATCTGTTTCCCTCAGTCGATGAGGTATAGTTCACCACACTGATTTTCAGAACTGACCAAGGGTGGTATGGTCAGGAAGCTGGCGGCACACAGATGCTCTGGGAGCGTGGGAGCGAGGACCATCGTTGGGGTGCACGATGGTCCCTGGAATGAGTTGGGTAAAACGAGGCTGGGAAGTGGGTCCCAGGTCACTGTGGAGATGCAGACCTGGAAGTAAATGCTGCAGATGTGGGCTGTGTGGCTGGAGCTCCTGGTAGGGAGTCACCCCGGCGGTGACAGAGAAAGGAAGGCTCTGCAGCATGGTTGTTGGCAGGCGCAGGCTGTCAGCCTCTGCCCCAGCTCCTCGGGGCTCTTGGCCCTGGCTCCCTGGTTAGGAGCAGAGGAGAGATCTGAGATACGAATAAAAGCTGCACGGTCAACGCTGGCCCCAGAAACCCCAGGCTCACTCCCAAGTCTGGGTGAGCCGAGAAAGCCAGGGCCCTCTGACCTCGCTGGCCCTGACCAGGACCGCAGAAGGGAGTGAATCTGAGCACTGATGGAGTCCAGTGTGTGGTGGGGAAACGAGGAGGGTCGTGGTCCAGCAGCCCTGGATGTGTGTGGGGAGAGTGGGAGACGCTGTGTGGACAGAAACCAGGCCATGGTCAAGGGGAGGCCCAGGAAGTGTTTTCTGATCAGAATTTCACTATTCATAGCTCATTTCCAGCCTTTCCAGAACTTGAGGTTTACAGAGGATTTTCCTGACCTTTTAGAAACACGAATGGTCTTATTACCGGATCTTATGCAGTTGATCTTTAAAAAATGGTTTAGGTACAATCAGATTCAAAGGAATTAATGAAGAGTTTGGGTTGGCAAAAGAAAATTGGGATAAACTGGGGAAGAGGAAGAGAATTCACAGAATTTAGACTCAATAGAGAAATAGACTTAGAAAGAAGGATTAAAGCAGAACAAATATGAGTGTCCTTAATTAAGCATTATGCTTACACAGAGAGAGATATTGAAGGAGAATTATCCCCATCTGGGATTTCAGGGAACTGGCTCCTTTTCTGAAGGAAAATATTGCTTCATCCAGAATATTATTAATTTAATTTTGAATTTAAGTATCTTTGACCAGGTAAAAATACATCTGGTCCTAAGGGACATCCCCCAAAAAGTATTAATTTGCTAAGCTAGTATTTATTTGATGTCTACTATTTTAGGCTTTAGCATACAAGGGGGGGGGGAAGAACTTATATTGGTGGAACCAGAAACATTAAAACAAAGTAAGTGAAATATGTAACATGGGATATGATAAATCCTTTAGAGAAAACCAAAGGCAGAGATTGTGTGAGGATCCTGACAGTTTTAAATAGTGTGTTTGAGGCACAACATCTCATCCAGAAGGCACCCAGCAGAGGAGACC